ATCTAACGAGAATAATATTTGGGGTAATTTTTGGATTTTGTTTTAAATATAATTACATAATATAGGTTTACTTTCTGAAAATTGGAGAATACTCTTAACTTTCTTTTGAGGTGAAACTCATATACCATAAAATTTACAGTGATTTTTTTTTATTGTATCCACATGGATTACCACTTTTCTAATTTCAGATTTTTCTTTTTTCTCCTTCCCTTCCCTCCCTCCCTCCTCCTGTCTGTGCCTGCCTGCCTACCTGCCTGCCTCCCTCCTTCTCTCTCTCCCACCCACCTCCTTTCCTTCCTTCTTTCTGAGATAGGATTTTTCTATGTAACCCAGGCTGCCCTTGAACTTGTGGTGATCCTCCTGCTTCAGCCTCCCAAGCTGTAGGAATATAGGCGTGTACCACCATACGTAGCACCAGAACATTTTTAATCACCCCAAAAAGAAACTCAGCATTCTTTAGCAGCTATCTCTTTCTCCGTTTCCCAACCCCTAGAAATCTCTGTCTGTAGATGTACTTTCAAAGTTTACCTGTGTGGTAGCATGTATCCTATTTTCTGGCTGAGTAATATTTCATTGTATGGATATACCTCATATTGTAAATTGATGAACACTTGGCTGTTATAAATAATGTAGCTATGAGCATTCATGAGCAAGTTTTTGTGTGAACGTGTTCTCAGTTTTCTTCCAGTCATGTCTTGTGTCTAGATGTACCCCCAAGCCTCATGCAGTCATAGGTGAGGCTTTTCAGAGGTGGCTGGATTTCAAGTGTATAATGCTGGGATTGATTTACAGTGCAATGCTAGGATTAAGGGCACTAGTGCTACCCACCCTAGGGTGGGGTAGCTTGGATAAAGATACAAGGGACAGAAAGACGCTTGTTTCGTCAGTCGCTTGCTTGGTTTTGCCGTCTTCTGCCTGCCGTGAACTGTTTCTCTTCTGTAATGCTTTCTGCCATGCCATCCTGCCTTGGAGCCAGCTAATTATTGACTGAAACCTCTACAGATTGAGCCGAAGTAGTGGGAGATACAGCTCAGCAGCACAAGCACCTGTCTGGCAAGCACAAGGTCTTGAGTTCGATTCTCAGTAACAACAAACAAACAAACACCCCACCCCCCAAAAAAAAACTGAGCCGAAGTAAACTATTCCTTTAACTTTGGGTGTCAGGTATTTTGTCTCAGCAGCGAGAAAAGTAACTAAAACAGATACATACCTAGAAGTGGAATTGGTCTGTGAATCTTTATATATAATTCTGTTATTGGGTAGCTTGTTTTTAAAAACTGGCTTGCCAGCTAAACGTTACTGGGTTCTGGATTGCTCACCTCTTCTTCTGAAGTTGGATTATGGGTTCTTCTCGCCTTGAACAAAGAATTGAACAAAATGAGCAAAAAGTAGTGGCAAAGCTTATTCAAGAAAGTAAAAGTGAAGAATGGGAGAGAAACTGACTGCAGAGTGATCTTGGGCCAAGTAAGTAGAAAAAGAGGGTGACAGTGAAGATAAAGCACACACTGCGTCTGGGAAACAGGGTGGGCTGTCATAGAAAGTTACAATAGCCATGCCTTGATGTGACCTTCCATGCTGTCTAAATCTCAAGGAAGCCTGCAAAGCCTTCTACATAAGGGTTCTGTCCCACACCTCAGGCTGACCTCAGGTCCAGGCTGTCCTGTTGAAAACCTGCCGAGTTCTCTAGTGAAGTCCGTTGCGGGGCTTTGGGAACTGTTTTGCGCATGTGTCCAGGATCTTGTAGTTAACATGTCACACTTACTTCCCCAGCCAGCTTTTGCCATGCCCTAATCTGCTATCTCAATTCTTTAACTTTTCTGAGAAACCACAATTTTCTATAGTAGCTACACTGTTTGTATTCCCACTTTGTCTTTTTTCTTAGCTGTTTTAGCAGGAGTGTAATTGTGTCCTGTGTTTCTCTGATGACCTCTGCTATTGAGTGTTTTGCACTTATTGGCCATCTGTATATTGTCTTTGGAGAGGTGTCTGTTTAAACCCTTTGCCTGTTTCTACTTATTACTGTTATTATTTTGGCAGCACTGAGGAAGGAACCCAGGGGTGCTCTACATCCCTAGGCCTTTTAAAACGTTTTATTTTAGGATGATATTTTGGTAAATTGTTTCAGCTGACCTCAAACTTCGTGATCCTCCTGCCTTCACGTCCCCAGTAGCTGGGATCACAGGCCACCCATGCCTGTCTAAATCCCGTGCCCTTTTTAGCTAGGGTTGTTGTTTTATTGTCTGTTACCCTGTCCAAGTTACTTTAAAGTGTCATCCCCTAATTAATAGCAGTTTAATAGAGAACTGTTCTCAAATATAAAGAATTTCCTGATGTTACACTGAAACAATTTACAGTTCCAGTTACATATGATAAAACTTTCTGTAGTCCTCCAAAACTTTCTATTTCTTTCTTTTTTTTTTTTTTAATACCAGGAATTGAACTGAGGACCTCACGCTTGCCAGGCGGGTGCTCTGCTGCTGAGCTACATTCCCCAGCCTAAACTTTCTATTTCTGAATAACAAAGAAATAGCATAATCAGTTGTTTACTGAAAGAGATATGGTTGTTTACTTTCTGGTAATTATACTGTCTGGTCTGGTAGGATTTAGAGTATGCAGAAATAGTGGGTTGGTAATGAGAGGTTTAAAAATTGCATTATGCAGTAAAAGTTTTAGAAGTTGATTCTAGAATTAAAAATGGTAAATAACATTTACAGCTAGAGGTTAGGCCCTGACACAGAATTTTATTTTTCCTTTTTTTTTTTTTTTTGAGATTGGGTCTCACTATGTAATTCAGGATGGCCTAGAACTCACTATATAGCCCAGGCTGGCCTCAAACTCTCAGCAGTCCTCCTGCCTCAGCCTCCTGAGTGCTGGGAAGAATTTTCTGTTTGGTTGTTAATAACGTAAAGAATGTACTTAAAATTTACAAGGATTAAGTGGTGCAAATACTAGGAACTTTATGGATTTTATTGAATGCTTTCACATTTTTCTTATGCTTTTTGTTTTTGTATGAGTTAAGAAGTATATATTAATACTTCTGAAGTACAAGGATCAATATATTTTACTTGGTAGGATTCTTTATTGTTTGTCCATTCTCAGTAAATATAAGAGACTGTAAGAATGACTTTTTAAGTTTTTTGGTACTCCCAACTGATGCAGTTGTAAATGTTGCCCCTTACGAGCCCCAGTGCTAGCCCTTCCTGTGCCGTTATTCAAAAATAGCTCAGTTTCAGCCGTGCACGGTGTCATATGCCTGTAATTCCAGCACTCAGGAGGCTGAGGCAGGAGGATCACCTTGAATTTGGGGCAGCCTGGGCTATGTATGTTGAGTTCAAGGCCAGGCTGGACTACAGAGTGAGACCCTGTCTCAAAAAAAAAAACGTCAGTTCCAACTAAGGATCATCTTTAGGACTACTTAGGGGAGAGTAGTGATGAAGTTTTCTTGGTGGGGTAGAATTTAAATATAGATGTAAACCTCCAGGGTAAAACTAGCTGTAAACTTAAAAGTTTGCTTCTGTTAGAACTAGAATTATATATGATTTCTATATTGAAGGGTTTTGTTTTTGTTTTTTTAATGTGGTCTTACCGTGTTACCTAGGTGGGCCTTGACCTCCTGCCCTCAGCCTCCTGAGTAGCTAGGATTATGGGCACAGGATGCTGCTGTTCCTGGAGATTCTTTAACATACGTATTTGGAAATTCTTTAAAATATGTATTTGGGAGCCTCAAGCAGGAGGGTGACAAGTCCAGGCCAGCCTAGGTAATGTAAGAAGACCCTGTCTCAGAATTAAAATAGATACTAGAAGGGCTTGGGTTGTAACTCAGCAGTGGAGCACCTGTCTAGCATGTGCAAGGCCCTGCATTCAATCACGATTACCCCCCATGGCATATTTATTTCTAATAGTACTTGGATTCAGAGGAAATTAACAAGAAAAGGGGAGAAACCCTTAGATAGGCTGTAGTTGAATTAATCTTAAGAACACAACAGAAGCACTGTTTATAGACGAATATTTTTAAAATTAAATATGATCAAGGCCAAGAGGCACCACATCAGATTGTGATATATCTAAAATAGAAACATATATCTAAAAATATATGTAGTTTAAGATTCTGTTGTCCAGCAGATTATTACTCAGCATAGATGCTGATCGCTAAATTATCTCTTTTTGAAAGTAGCTGCCTCAGGGCCGAGGATATAGCTCAGTGGCACAAACCCTTGCCTACCAAGCATAAGGTCCTGAGTTCAATCCCCGGTACCAAAAAAAATAAAATTAGCTGCCTCTTTTCCCTCAATTTTGTTTTATTTTAAAGCAGCTGTCTTTTAAAAAAAAAATTAAAAATTGGGCTGGGTGTGGTGGCTCATGCCTGTAATCGCAGCACTCAGGAGGCTGAGGCAGGAGGATCACTGTGAGTTTGGGGCCAGCCTGGGCTACATAGTGAATTCAAGGCCAATCTGAACTGCATAGTGAGACTCTATCCCAAAAAATAAATAAAATTAAAAACCACTTTCTTGATGGAACATAGTTTGATCACTGGCATTATAGAAACAAGCCAGAGTCGGAAGGCTATACAGTCTTGGGCTTATCCCAGTATGTGGACCCTTCTAAGGCATTATAGGAATTTTAATTGTTGTTATTTTTCTCTTTTCGGTTGGAAATATTACTATATGATTCTAAAATAGTAAATTTTAATGGAGCAAAGAGTTCCGCCTGGTGATGTTTTTTTTTCTTCACCAAAGAGAAAAGTGAGATTTCTGAGAAGGTTGGAATTTCTTTCTCTGTTATATCTGTTACTGTCATGTGGGGGATGATCAAATTTCACATTTCCAGGTTGCTAGGAGAAAGCTTATTTTATGGATAGTGGCATGGAAGACCTCTTGTCCTCTTTATTCTTTGAACGTCTGTATTTCTTAGAATTGCCTTACTTCCTTTATGAAACCTAAATTATGCAGAGGAAACACGATTACTTTGACCAAGCTCAGGAAACCTGAAACAGGTTAGAAATGTCAAACCAGATTGAAGTAAAGGACATTGCTGGCTGCCATAGGTAAGGCAACATTCTTGAAAAATCATTTTTCCCTTGTTCTTGCTGCTGATTCTTACTTTTTTTTTTGCAGCTTTCTTGTGGCATAAGATTGAGGGGGTTGGGAAAACCTTTTCGAGAGCTTCAGATCATGTTAAACCAGTGATTCTGGTGAACCATAGTCTCAGGAACTCTTAAAATAATCCACTGATTTGGTGTCCCAAGATACTTGGCTTTACTGTGGCTATTTTGCCCATATTCTTTCATTTACAAGAGAAATTACTTTAGGTTAAAATAACTTATTTTGGAAGTGCCTTAAATTTAAGATTAGATTACTAAGAGTTCAAAGTACAAGCCCATGTGATGGATACTGATGAGAGTATGGCACAGGAAAGAATCATTTGAAGTTGAATTCTTGCAGTATTCATCAGAAATGTTTTGTTAGTGTCTGAGATGGTTGGTTAAAATTTAGTGGATTAGGGAGGTTTGTTTTGTTTTTTTTTTTGTTTTTGTGGTGCTGGTGTTTGAACCCAGGGCCTTGTCATGCAAGGCAAGAACTCTACCACTGAGCCACATCCCCAGCCCAAGTTAGGGTTTCTGCTTCAGGTTATGACACCTCAGGCCCTCAGTTGGTCTGTTTCGTTTCATGATAGAGTACTTTGTTAACAGTATGGTTTAGAGTGTGTATTTTAAAAGTGCCTCAGTTGACTCTGCATTTCATGATGATAATGAAGCCAGGATCAGATCCCTAAATTGGTTGTATCAGTAAATATTCTGTTATTGCTTTGCAGATTGACCCCCAGTCTCAGCCAGTTCATCTTTTAAATAAATGTAATCTGTTGTCACAGAGGAAAGAATTTAAGAGATGTCTTTGTTTTATGACTTGTATAGATTATTCATACCACAAACAGCAGGCAAATACATTTTCAGTGTAGGTTATTTAAAATAACCGAAAGGGGGCTGAGTATTATCTCGTGGTCGAATGCTTGGTTTAACATGTCCAACGCCCAGAGGTCGATCTGTATCACTAAAATGAAATAAAATAACGTAGCTGAAGATTTGTCCATCAAGAAAACTGCTGAGGTAGGGTGGATGGAGATGTTATTGGCAGAGGTTAGAATGTTATGTTTTCATAATTGTCCCAATTATGTAACATTTAATTTCTATGTGTAAATCAAATATAATGGTAAACCTTGATTTGCCCATGGTTTATATTTATCCTAACATTATTTTTCTAATTTAAAAAAAATGTTGCAAATAATAAGTTTTTGTTTGTTTTTTAGGAAATTTTTTTTTTTTTTTTTTAATTTTGGAACCGGGAATCAAACTCATGACCTCACAGTTGTCAGGCAAGCACTGTGCCACTGAGCTATACCCCGGCCCCTCTTTATTTTTTTGAGACAGGGTCTTGCTATGTAGTTCAGGCTGGCCTCGAACTCATAGCAATCCTTCTGCCTCAGCCTCCTGAGTCCTGGGATTACAGGTTTGTACCATGATGCCTGCTGCAAGTAATAAATGTTCATTACAGAAAATTAGAACATACATATAAATAACAAAAGCAGAAAAATTTCCTTATATTTCCGTGGTTTAGAAGTAACATGGCGCATGGGCATGGTGGTGCACTCCTGTAATCTCAGCACTCTGGGAGGCTGAGGCAGGAGAATCACCTTGAGTTTGAGGACAGCCTGGGCTACATAATGAGTTCAAGACCAGTCTGAATCATGTAGTGAGATTCTGTCTTAAACCTCACCACCACTACCAAAAGGAAATAACAGTGTTGATTGTGGGTGTCTGTTAAATCGTCTTTTCACTAGACATGTCTTCTTGAGACAGGGTCTTGCTGTGCAGTTCAGGCCAGCCTTGAGCTCACTTTGTAGCCCAGGCTGGCCTTGAACTCGCAATGATCCTCCTGCCTCAGCCTCCTGAGTGCTGGGATTTACAGGCGTGTGCCACCATGCCCGACTTATACCTTTTTTAAAAGCAAAATTTTATGATGTGTGCTGCTTGGTAAGTTGATTTTTTTCATATAACAGTTTACCATGAGTATGGAGGTCATCGTTTTTTCATTTTCTTTTTCTTTTTTTTATTTCCAGTACTGGGAATTGAACTCACGACCTTGCGCTTGCCAGGCAGGTGCTGTGCCACTGAGCTAAATCCCCAGGCCCTCATTTTACTTTTCATAATTGACTTTGTGAGAGCTTATTTTCAATTTTTCATTTCTTTTAGCTGTTCCAGTTTTTAGGTTGACACCTATCTAGTCAGCTTTATATGTCCATTAAGATCTGCACTTTTTATTCAGTTGCAGAATGAAGAAGAGCCTGGGGACCCGGAGCAGGTGGCAGGTGATGCTCCTCCACCTTACAGCAGCATCTCTGCAGAGAGCGCAGGTAGGCGACACAACAAGGTGCTGCGTGGACTCCTGAAATAACACTGACCTCTACACCATGCCGAGTGTGTGTTTGTTTGTATTTGCTTTTGCATTCTTAAACTGTCTTTGGCTTTATTTTTATTTTGAAGCCTAATGTAAAAGAAATTCACATTGTTGTTCTGAGAAACAAATGAAACCTCATTTTAAATAGATTTTGGCTTTTGTTGTTGTTATTTTGAGACAGGGTCTCACTGTATCCTTCAGACTGGCCTTGAGCTCACCATGTAGCCCGGGATGGCGCCAGACTTGTGGTGTCCTTCAGGCTGGGATTACAGGCATCCGCCACCATGCCCAGCAGAGATTTTGGCTTTTAAATAGAGCTTAATTTCAATCTGACTGACTCTTCAGGTAAAGGAAGTAGAAATTCAGGAACTGAGTGATCATCTAGTTTTTGTTTTTTGATCATTTTTTATTAGCGATTTTTTCCCCTTTTAACCTATTTTTAAAATTAGTATATGTTTTTGATTCATAATAAATACATGCATTGTGGGGAATTGGTGCACTTACAGATCGCTCCTTGGTCCTTCTGCGTTCCTTCCTGTCGCTTCCTTTTTCCGTCCTCTCTGGATCCCTTCCTGTCTCCACATGGTCTGTTTTGCCCTGAGTGATTCTAGTATCTATAGCCAGGAATATACTGTGTCTTTCATGCTAGTCAGTTCTTGTTTTTGTTTATCCAGTCCTGGGAATCAAAGCTAGCAGCACTCTACCTTTGAGGTACATTCCTTGCAGCAACATCTCCAGTCCCTCCCCACTTTTTCTTTTTTAATTTGCAGACAGAGTTTTGTTAAGTTGCCCAGACTGGCCTCAAATCTGCAGTCCGCCTGCCTCAGCCTCCCAGGAAGCTGATATTGTAGGTGCGTACCACCATGTCCAAGTATGCTAGTAGATTTTGTTTCTTTTTAGACTGTTGAGATTGAACTCAGGTCCTTTGCACTGAGCTACATTCTCATCCCTTTCTATTTTTTTATTTTGAGACGGTCTTACTGTTATCCAGGTAGGACTTGAATTTAGAATCCTCCTGCCTTGGCTTCTTAGAGTGCTGAGATTACAGGCATGTGCCACCATGCCTGGCTAATGCTAGTAAATTCTTAATGAAAAAAACGAAGTTTGCCAGCTCTTTCATACTGTTCTGATAGTTTAAACTTCTTGTTTAGCCTTTACTCTTCACATTTTTATGCTAGATTAGCCTTTGATGTTCATGTGTATGAGTGAAAGGGATATGGGGGAAGAAGAAATGTCAGTAGTTGAGAACCTAACCAGTTCTACTATAATTTCTCACCAGTTTTGATAGAACCTCTTTCATAATCTCTAAAACAGGCAAATGCCTGACCCCTACACTGCTGCTGAACCCTCCCTGCTACCAGGATACGTAGGCAAATTGAAGATACCATGCATCTCTGTAGACACAGCCCTGGAATCCTTTGCAGTAGAGCGCTTGCAGTAGTTATACCATCAATTAATGTGAGATTAAATCTGTTGGTGGTCTCTGATTCTGAGGCTGCCACTAGTTATGTAGGACATAGCTCAGATAGTGTTTCACTTCAGTTTGTGAACTCTTAGATTAGTTCTGTTGTATTTCTGTTTCATTGTATAGTTACGTTTTTTTTATTTGTAAACAACTGAAACTAACCCTGCTAAATTTAAGATTTTGGAGAAATTCTAGATTATCTCATATAACCAAGTCAACATCAATACTTGGAAAGAAATCACAGTGTCGTCTCCTGTTCACTCTTTTCTGTCCAGACCATAAATACTGGTCCTCCATTAAATGTACCTGGTGAAAACCCTAATGCATTAATAAGAATTTGGGTTGTTTTATTAATGATGAAAAGTCCTTCCCATTTAGCTATTCAGAATCATACTGTAATTTTTTACCTGAATAGTGTCTGAGTTCCTACCTTCTTTAGTTATAAAACTTCTGACCAGGGCCAGGGGGAATATAGCTCAGTGGCATAGCACCTGCCTGGCAAGCATGAGGCCCTGAGTTCGATTCCCAATATCAAAAATAAAAAACTTCTGACCATTTTAGATAGAACTCTTTTCTTAGTTGGTTCACTTTCTTATTCACTTAATGTCTTTATATTCTTTTAAATTATCTTTATAATTTAGGGATTACAACTGTACGTGGTGGCTCATGCCTGTAATCGCCTATAATCCCCCCACTCGGGAGGCTGAGGCAGGAGGATCATTGTGAGTTCAAGACCAGTCTGGGCTACAAAGTCAAGGCCAACCTGAACTGTGTAGCAAGACCCTGTCTCAAAAAGGCAAAAAAAAAAAAAAAAAAATTAGGGATTATAACAAGAAACATTCTCTATTCATTGAGAGTGTAGAAATTTATGATTGAAGAGTAGGTGCTATGTATCCTGCCCCCACTTTATTGTCAGGTGGCCCAACCTAATGCAGCCAGCATGAGATCCCTTCTTTGTGTTTGTGTTTGTCTTGGGGCCTGAACAGTAAATAACAAAGCTTCTTGAGCCTGATATAAGGTAAAGATAAGCTGTTTCTGGAATACAAGCCTAGAGAACACTTTCTTAACTGCAGTCTGAGTTTTGTGATATTTCATCTTAATACTCAGAGGCCTTGAAAAAATACTGTTGTGTGTGTTGTTGGCCTGAGCAAGAACAGTTGATGTTTTATTAATGTGCCTAGAACTAAATTCATATATTTTAATAGCTTATTTTTTGTTTTCTCCATATGCAGTAATGTCATCTGTAATTGACGGTTATTTCTTCCTTCCTATTCATTTTTTTTTTCTTTTTGACTTTAGTGGTACTAGAGATTGAACCCAGGGATGCATGTGTGTTAGGCAAACGTGCTGTCACAGAGTAACACCACAGCCTCTTTCCCAGCTCTTACGTCTTTCATTTTCTTGCCATTTTGTACCATCTAGGTAGGACTTACACTTTGGTTAGTAGTGGTGAGAGCGGTAGTAGGCATTATCTCATTCTCTAACATTAGGGAAGAAAGTATTTAGTAATTTAGCACTATGACATTTGCTGCTTTTTATTTGGTAGATATTTGTGATCAAGTTGAAGTTTTATTCCTATTTTGCTAAGTATTTTAGTGGGTATTGAATTTTATCCACCTTTTCTATATCAAGGTAAAATATTTTTCTCTTTTTTGTGTTAATAAGATACATTATATTGATTGACAATTTCAATAATGTAGCAAAAACTAGGCATTAATTATAATTAAAGAAATACTAATGTTGATGCACTATAGGAATTCTTCAAAAATTTAAATTTAAAAATTGTGTATACATTTAATCCACTTACAAATGCATTTTTGTTGATTATATTGAATCTTCTATAATAGAGTCAGTGAAAATGCAGATGTGGTGTAAAGAAAATGAAAGATTTCATAAAGATAAATAATTGTTCTGTAGCTGAATTACTTTTAAGCGTATCAGAGAGAACAGTATATGCTAAGAAATAATGTAAGAGAGTCAAAGTGCCAAAACAAACCTGTAAGGAATTAATATTAAGCTTTTTTTCCCCTTGAAGTTAATTTTCCTGTTTGACAATAGAAAGAAATCAGAATACAGATTTACACACACATTTAAAACAAATGTTTTCTTTATTTATGTATTAAGATTACATGCCTTTTGAGAACCCACATGGTGGTCTAAAGTAGTGTTTCAAAAGCATTTAGAAGGCTACAAAGTGAGCCTGGCCTTTAAGTAACTGAGAAGTGGATACATTTTAAAAATCACCCCCAGGTTCTTATATTCAACTATAAATATCTTTTGGTTCAGTTATTGTACATGTACTCTTAGGGAAATGCCTGGGTTTAGTTAGCCTCAATTGGTGAAAATCCTTTTTTTTTTCTCTTTACATAAGCTAATTAATCATCAGATATTGTGACTTCCTTTTTTTCTTCAGCATATTTTGACTACAAAGATGAGACTGGGTTTCCAAAGCCTCCGTCTTACAATGTGGCTACAACACTGCCTAGTTACGATGAAGCTGAGAGATCCAAGGCTGAAGCTGCCATTCCCTTGGTTCCTGGAAGAGTAAGTATAATTTGCTATGCTGAGTGCTTGATGGGCAGCTTTATGGGAGTTAATTTGTTTTTGTTACCCAGTTTTGAGTTACTAGGGTTGATTAGAGAGAATTCAGTTTTTTTGTTTGTTTTGTTTTGTTTTGTTTTGTTTTGACAAAACTTAAGACCTTGTGCTTGCCAGGCAAGCGCATTTGTGCCACTGAACTATATCTCCGGCCTGAGTTCAGTTAATTTTAAACAAATACATTTTCTTTTCAGATAATAAACATCTCTTTCTGAAAATGATGAGACACAGAGGTATAAGTAAGCAGAAAATGACATTACACTAGCTGGTTTTCCCTGTTTCTAAGACTACTATATGTCTCTCTGCTTTCTTAGATCTGCTGGGGTAGCTGAAACACCTTCGAGTGGGAGCTGACTGAGGAAGTACATTGACTTTCCTGAGTCTGCCTACTGAAAACTGTGGTGTTATGGGTAGATAGGGAGATCTCTAGAGAAAGGTACTCATAAAAGGGATTTTAACGGTCATATAGATGAACTTTGTGCTCCAGCAGTTCAGGTCATACCGTTTATAGGGATACAGTGAGATGAGATCCACCTAGCATGTTGTTGATTTGTGGAAGTTAGGGTAGGATGTGATGTGAGCCTGTAATGCTTTTGGGTACTCTTGGCTCTTGACATTAGACTCGTTTGTAACTGGTACAGATGTGGTTTCATAAATATTTGTGCAGATGGACGTGATTAGGGCCTTGGGCCAGATAATGGGTGAATGAAGGCAGGATACAGTCCCCAGGAATGTGGAGGTGATTAAGGCACTAACTTGGAACCTTGGCGGGAAATTGGAGAGATAAACAACAGCAAAAGCCTAGTCTGACAGTGCACTGGAATAGGCCCTAGAGGTTCCTCTGGCTTTAGGGCAATACCTTTATTTATAAACTGTACCTATTATAAGGAGTAGTGGTCTGAAAACCCCAGCTTGGAAGAAATAGTTTATGAGCCTGGTCTAGGCTGAACTTACATGTAATCTGCATTCAGATCTTGTACATGCCAGGGAAAAAACATTAAACCTCATGGAAATTATTGTCTGAGGACAAAACAGTCATAATGTAACAGCTGTATATTGGAAGCAAACATGCTAAGTACTATGCTGGATGCTCTTATATATTTTGTATATTGTTTCCACCAGATGCAAAAATTTAGGGCCAGAGCGATGAAGTAATTTGCCCAAAGTCATCTGGTTAATAAGTAGCAGAAGTGAGTCAACTTCAGGAAAACTAGACTCCGAAGGGCTTCCTTATATGTTTTGCTGTATTCTGCAGAACTGTTGGGATATGGTGAATATAGAAATGTAGAGATTAATTATGATTGCTTACACAACTCTTCAGAATTCTTTTGACAAGTAGAAGCTTATTAAAGGCTCTATTAATCAGCAGACATATGTGGCACTTATTTCCCTAGAAGATGCTATATATTTTGCAATGTATAACTGAAAAGTTTTTGATTAGGAATATGGAGGGATTATTGTGTTTTAGAAACATAAATCTGGCAAGAATTTGTGGAGAGAAATTGTTAATAGAAGAGATATGAAGGACAGGAAGAATAGAAGACATTTATAGTATTTGCAGCTTTATCCATGTATTTTAAGAGTATATCTCTGAGTACTTATCACAAAACTCTTTCTGCTAAGTCAGAGCAATGATATTTAATATTTTAAAGGTTTATAAAATGAATGCATTCTTGTAAAAATTGCAAACCTGGTGGGTGCAGTTATAAAAAGATGCTGTCACTGACACTTCCTTTACTGTAGTGTACACTCACAGGAGAACTGCTAGGTACAGTTTGGTATGGACTCTCCTGGTCCATTTTCTGTGTAGGAAAAGTTTTGATTGTCCTTAGAACATTTTATTTTTCATTTGAAGAACCATGTTTGAAGTAGGTAGCACTCTTACACTTTTAAATTATATTGTGTTACTTTTAAATATCTCAGTACATACCTGTGTCAGTTGGAAAGATAGTCCACCTATGTTGATACTGGTCAGGATCATGGTCTTCTAGAACTACAATACTATCTTCAAGATAGGATTGAAAGGATCTTATCTGCCAATAATATTAGAGATAGGGTTTGGTTTGATTTGGTTTTTGGTTTTTGGTTTTTTTGAGACAGAGGCTTAGCATGTAGTTCAGTCAGGCCTTGAAGTCACTATGTAGCCCAGGCTGACCTCTAGTGGCAATCCTCCTGCCTCAGCCTCCTGAGTGCTAGGAGAGTATATTTTGGATCTGTGTACCAATACAAACAAGCTAATGTAGTTGATTCCAAGACAACTCTATATGGACTCTTAGGTATGCTTACATTTTCTGTGTTCCTCGCCCCCTCCAAAGCTGGTCAATTTTATCTCCATAGTAGACCCTGATTACTAGTACTGTGGGCCAGTGGTGGTAGGCTGTTTGTTTCATTGAAAGCTCTAAAAACTTCACCATCACGGCTGTAAGTCCTAAACATACCCTAGACTACGGAGATTGTAGCATCTTAGCCAAATATATAGGTAATTTTTTTTTTCATTTGTGGAAATATATTTTTAAAAAGAAAAAGAAAATAACGTGAACTTTTAATGCTTGAAGTGCATTGCTATAAGAATTCGGATTGGGACTAGCTGTGTATCTTAGACCTCATGCTTAGCATGCGTGAGGGCTTTTGGTTCAATCCCAAGCACCAAAAATAATTTGGATTGTAAAATGAAAGAGGAAACATTCATTTAGAAAACTACAGAGATAGAGAAAAGATTTGTTTCAGCTGTAATTATTTCTTACATATAATGCAAAATAAAAATTTTAACATATACTGAGCCTCTAATGCTTATAGCTATGAATTGAATCAGAGCAATAAATTTTGTCCTTGTTGCTCATACCTGCCCTATTATTTTTCTTGCTGTCTTTCCTTTGCCTAAAAATAATTTATTATTAATTTACCTTACTCTTTTTATTTAGGATGAGGATTTTGTGGGTCGGGAGGATTTTGATGATGCTGACCAGCTGAGAATAGGAAATGATGGGATTTTCATGTTAACTTTTTTCAGTAAGTATGTACACACAGCAGAGTCACTTCCTTCAAACCAGAGTGCTTTGGATTAGCCTATGAAAAATATAAGGCAGTAGTGGTGCTGCATTTTTACATGAGCTAGTCTTCATCTTTTAGGTCTGCAGGGCTTCTTAGCATTGCTCCTATTCATGCTCAAATGCCCTTTTGATGGAATTTTTCTGAAAGGTTCTATTGTGTGATAGATCAAAGTCAGGCTGATTTTTCTCCCTTTTTTTGTATTTCTTTTTTCATGAGCTTCACTTAGATATCAGCAGTTACTTCATTTGCTTTATTAAAAACAAAATGCAATAATTTTAGAGGTGATTTTATGTAAACTTAAGAATTCACAGGGCAGGAAGATGAATCACTTGAATCAGATGATTTGAGAGCATTAGCACTTTGATGTCCAAGACATTTATTTATTATTTATTTATTTAATACACTGCAAAGAGCATAGATCCTGAGTACACAGTTTAGTGAATTTAAGCCTTTTTTTTCCTTAAGTGAATAGCAATAAACATAATCGTGTAAAACATGCTTGTCAGAGAAAGCATTTTCTTCTCTTGTTTAGAGGGGAAGACAGAAAGCTGGGTGTTTGGGTGGAGGTGGGTAAGGGCTGTGAAGGGCAAGTTGTCTTTTATCCTTGGGAAAGTCATTCAAGCTGAGGCAGATGTAAAGAGCGCTTTTGTTCCTTGGCTAACAAGACATGCCTGAATCTTTTCCCACTCTGCTTTTCTAGTGGCATTCCTCTTCAATTGGATTGGATTTTTCCTGTCTTTTTGCCTGACCACCTCAGCTGCAGGAAGGTATGGGGCCATCTCAGGATTTGGTCTGTCTCTAATTAAGTGGATCCTGATCGTCAGGGTAAGTTACAACAGAAAAGATAAAGTCTGCCAAGAGACAATAATTAAAATGACTTTGACTCTTGTTTTGTTTTTTTGAGAGAAAAAAACAACAACAAAGATAAAAACAAAACAACATAAAAATAAAAACAATACAGAATTTCAAAACAAGATGATAGGAAATTAACAGTGGTTGTTATATTACATTTTGTTATCTTCAATGAAGTTGCTCAGATTATCAGATGTAAGAATGCAAGAATTTTGTTCTTTAAAAATTATCTCAACTTCTTTTTTCTTTCTGCAGCCCTTGCACTGAACAGTACCCTGCTCCCCTTTGAGCCAGGGTCTCCCTAAGTCACTGAACTGCTCAGGCTACACTCAAACTTGTGATCCTCCTGACTCAGCCTTCCAGAGTGCTGGGATTACAGGCATGTGTTACCGTGCCCAGCTTACATCAACATTTAAAATTACATTTGGTTTCATGATGAAATTGAACCAAAGTCAGTTGCAAGTGGTTTACTGCTTTCAAATTTTATAAAGAAGTATAGTGGATATTGGTCTGTTTTATAGGTTGTTCACCAACTCCTGGCTTTGTTTTTAGTGCTTATAACAATGTGTACATACACTCAGAAGTTGTTTTTGCAATGAAAAGGTTATCACGTCTGTGTGTTATCAAAAGTAGGCACTCTCATGCATTCTTCTGGAATTATAATTACCTTTCTCCTTCCTCACCCTGCCACCCTCCATCCTTCCTCCCTGCTTTCCAGAATTACGCCAAAATATTTGGGGATCCAAAAGTGTTCAACTCTTACTCTGTTAGGGGTCAGCCTGTAAAATAAAGAGATGGATGTCTTCATTGATTTGGGAGTTACCTGTTAAAGTCGCATGAAATAACTTAAACTTCCCAGAGATCTTAGCTTTAAAAGTATTTTCTAGCTGGATATGCTGTTGTACACTGTAATCTTCGTCCCCAGGAGCCTGAGGCAAGAGGGTTCTGAGTGTGAAGCCAGCCTGGGCTACATAGTAAGGTTAAAACCAGCCTGGATTATATAGTGAGACCCTGTCCCAAAAAGACAAACAAAATTTGAAGTATTCTCTGAATTCAGTTATGTTTATTGCAAGTGCCAGCCTTACAGACAAAACCAATGTATTCCTCATAAATTGGCATACCAGCCAAACAACTGGCTTTAATTGGGTGAGCAAAGTGAAATTATCATGGAGACATAGTTCTAGAAGGGCAAATACTGTGTGAGTAAAACTTTCTTAAAAAACAAATTTTGGCCAGGCATGGTGGCACATACCTGTAATTCCAGCACTCAGGAGGCTGACGCAGGAAGATCTTCGGGAGTTCGAGACAAGCCTGGGCTACAGAGTGAGCTCAAGACGAGCCTGTACTGCATAGTGAGACCCTGTCTCAAAAAGACAAAAGAAAAAATTCGTATCCTTTCAAAAACTTTAAAGCTGGTAGCGAAAGGAAACATTTGCATTTGTCACAACTTTCATATCAGTAATACATAAAACATTTTTTGAGCTGGGCATGGTGGTGCACACTTGTAATCCCTGCAGTGAGGCTGAAGCCGAAGATTGTCAGGATTTCAAGGTCAGCCTGGGCTACATAGGGAATTCTAGCCTGGCCTGAATTACATAGTTGAGACCCTGTCTCAGAAAAAGAAACAAACATTTTTTGAAATTACTGTAAGGATGAGATGATAGCAGTGGTATAACAAATAAAAGCCTGTATTTTGTGTGTCCTTAAATTAATATAGGAAATTGTGTCTGTTAATGTGCTGTAAAGTGTTTGCCTCATTTTTCCAGTTTTCTACCTATTTCCCTGGATACTTCGATGGTCAGTATTGGCTGTGGTGGGTGTTTCTGGTTTTAGGTAAGTATTTTTAATGTAAGGTGAGAAAAGGTTAAGTTAAATTCCATAATTAAAATTGCTTTTAGTAAACTGTCTCATTTATTGTATATATGAATCATCAGTTACAAGTATAATTTTTTAAAAATGTTTCTTTCATAAAGATGAAGCAGTTGTCACCATCAAAGTAACATGCACATTCATGAAAGCTTTTTAGGGTTAGGTTTTTCCTAATCCATTTATCTATATTTCTCACCTCTGATCAGCAGGGCATACTAGTAAGGTGATTCTGTGGTCTGTAGATTTTTTTTTTCCACTGTTAATTATCGCCACAAAAGGTTCACAAACTAAACTTCAGTTTGCTTATAGACATATAACGAGTTGGACTAACTCATGGCCATATGTAGCTTATCTTTGGTTAGATCTGACAGTAAACAGCAGAAAATGTGTAGTCTCACTAAATGTAACTTCTCAAAGAACCATTATTGAGTTTCCAGAATTTTTCAGTTTACCATTGGGGAGAATAAGAATTATTTTTGAGTGTGTAGGAGGATTTTTAAAAATATGTCTAATTCAAGCTGTTAGTCTTCATATTATGTTTTTTGCTCTAATTATTTTAAATCTTTTCCTAAAAATTAAAGCAAAAAAAATGGATGAACTATTTTAATATGATTCTTCAGTATTTATGAAGAAATTATATATTATACAATAACAATCTACCATCACTGCTGTCATCTCTACAGAGCAATAGTAGGGCCATCTTGTAGCTGAATGATCATGTGGTTGACTTACTGTACATCTGTTACATCACTTCCTCCTGACCCCTAGTTTGGGCCTTCTTGTCTCCTTTGACTAGTGCCCACCAGGTGCTTAAAAGATTCACTTAAGCTGAAAGAACCATGCATCACTGACTCTAAATTTTACTTAGAAAATGCAAGTCATCCATCACATCACCCTCCCCCGATAGCGTTGTCTGCTATACTATTGGTCATTGGAATTCCAGTAATTCCAGGAAGAGAAAGAAAGAGTGATTTTTTAATCTTCCCTTGATTATTAAGTTTAATGATAAAAATGATTGACAAGGAGAGTAACTTATGAGGAATAACTCATTGGCTTGGTTATGCTTTAAACTGTACTTTTAAGGGAGACCCTCACCACCTCTCTTCACTTGAGCTGAAGTTAAATAAAATCCTGAGTAGAGCAAAGAGTCATTAAGCATATTTTCAGGTTAATTGTTTGTAGCATAAATTATTTAAATAAATTAATGTTGATTTTCTTTCTGTATTTAGAGCCTTATGGGGGATGAACGTATATACTTTATCACTGATCATTCTTCCACGTACTGTTTACTTATAAGCAGAAAGTGCTGGGGCTTCAGATACACCTATTTACTTGCCGCGGTGTTGGCTCAGTGTAGGGGCTTCTCTTTACACAGAACCAGCTGTAGGAGTTTCTCCTGCTGGGGCAGAGCTCTCAAGCTGGCAACTCTGACTTGCCTCTCACCTTCAGCTGGGTTTGTTTGTTCCATGGTCATTTAAAGTTTTTAAAATTAATTGTCAGTACTTAAAACTCAAGATTTTTCACATAAGAGATCTGAATTTTTAAATTTTTCTTAGAAGTTGGAATAGCTAGCAGAACTGGTCTATATTTATCCATTGTACTTTTTGGCTGGAGCTGAGGTGGGAGTAGCTGACCACCCCACCCCACCCCACCCCCGCCTTAAAAAAAAGTGAGGCTTTGTGCTCTCCATTTTAGAAGGCTCCCCTTTGACTCAGACCCTTGTTCTGTAGTTTTGTGCTTTTGGTATCAAACAGAATGGTATTCACCAAACTCAGCACTGACAATGTTTGGTTATTGCCAGAAACCATTTCTCCTGTGCTGAGTATAGAGTGTCCACCACTGGGTGTGGTGGTGCACGCCTATAATCTCAGCACTTGGGAGCTGAGGCAGGAGGATCGCTGTGAGTTTGAGGCCAACCTGGGCTACAAAGTGAGTTCAAGACCAGCCTGAAGTGCATAGTGAAACCCAGTCTCAAAGTGACAAAAAAAAGTTTCCACCACTGAATATAATTTAAAATGTGTCCTAAAGAAAGTTGAACAATTGCCTGGGGCTAGGCAAAGGGGAAGAGGGACTAGGCGAATTAGGACTAGCAGTCCTAAGGCTTTCAGGGAGTGATGAGTATGTTTTAGAATTTTTTTTTTTTTTTTTTTTGGTTTTTCTCCGGTACCGGTAACCGAACTCACGACCTTGCACTTGCCAGGCAGGCGCTTTGCTGCTGAGCTAAATCCCCAGCCCATGTTTCAGAATTATATTATAGCTAGAGGGTTATACAAGTCTATAAGTATACTAAACCCAGTTATGATACAAAGTGAACTCTATGATATATGAATTGTATCTCAGTAAGGGTGTTTTAAAATGTTCCTAAGACCCAGGGATCAGCCAGGTGTGCTGTGCATGCCTGTGATCCCAGCACTTGGGAGGCTGAAGCAGGAGGATTTCTAGGAGTTTGAGGCCAGCCTGGGCTACGTAGTGAATTGAAGATCAGCCTGGACTTCATAGTGAGACCCTGTCTCAAAAAAAAAAGACTCAGGAATCATCTCTGAAGGAAGGTCAGGAGTGTGTACATTTCCATTGAATAGGGCACCATCACCCCTGTCCCAGCCCCCGTGGGTCCCTTTGAAGAGGTTTAAACTTCTGTGGATTAGTAGATTCTGGTGCAGTTGTACAAAATTAGCCTTAGGCAAAAATGAAGATCAGTGGTAGTGCACTTGCAAAGATAGGTAGGTGGGTAGACAGACTGACTTATATGTGAGTGACCAGACAGACACATAAATTCAACCTTAATAAAAGTGGAGATAGCTCAAAATTGAGAATATGAGAACTATTGTAATAGGTAGGAGGATCCTGACATCTAGTGGACAACATTATGTACTGTCAACAGAAAAAAAACAAAACAAAAAAAAAAACCACTGAAAGGGTACATAAATCTCTCCCACTGCGCCCTTAATTTGAGAAAAACAGTTCTAACCTCTCATTTTTTGAGTTAATTATCTTGTAGTGATGTTTTTAGAATACAGTAGGTTTTGATGTGCTTCTCCATGAGATTTCCAAATATAAATATTTGACCCCATTTTAGTTTTATTTCCTTTTTAGACCAATTAAATTCTGAATGTACAAAAGAAAGTTGATGTTTTTACTCTTAAGGTTATGTTTTCTCATTGAGGAATTTATAATTTGGTATGAAAATCTTTTCGAAGTGCTGAAGGAAATGTTTCTTGTTAAAGCCTTTAGCTTTCTATTAAAGCCTTTAGCAGAAAAATGACAGGGTATTGCTATCAGGAAGAATATTTCTGGAGAGGAAACTTAACATGGAAAGTGTAAATTCATTGTTGACTTTTTTTTTTTAATAGGCTTTCTCCTGTTTCTCAGAGGATTTATCAATTATGCAAAAGTTCGGAAGATGCCGGAATCTTTCTCAAGTCTCCCCAGGACCAGAGTTCTCTTTATTTATTAAAGGTATTTTTTAAATGTGTTCTAGCTCACTGTAATCATGTGATGCATTTCAGATTTCCATTCTGTTTTAGAGTAAAGGTAGATGGTAGGGGATACAGAGGAGGTGTAGAAGGTACAGTGCCTGCCTCTTTTGCAGTTTCTAGTTTGGGGTGGAGAAGTGAACAAAAAGCTGTTGTAAGGGCAAATGAGAAAAACTGCCGTAGGAGAAAATGTTATTTCACGTTTTGATGATGCAGAAGAGACAGGTAGCTATCAGGGAAGGGAGCCAGGATAGTGACTGTGTGATTAAAGCCAGCGTCCTGAAGCCACCGCTTACTTTTGTACCAGTTCCAGAGGACGTCATTCAGAAGTATCCTGCAGGCCTAACTAGTAAGCACACAGGGCCCCTTAACCCAGAGTGGAGAGAACGTAAGCTTGGGCTGCTGTCAAGCCCACCAAGGCTTCTGTCTTTTAAAATTAGTCATTGAGCCTTTCCTAGTGTCTTTTTCAGGTTCACACCCAGATATTTTCACTCTGGTGAGGAAGGTTCAGTCTCAAGGCAAAGAAGGAGAGAGAGGACCTTTCCCCTTGTCTGTAACAGGACTAAACCCTGCCAAGGTTCTTTGATTGACACCTGGCTTTTGCAGAGTCTGACTTCATTCTACATCAGCCACTACCTAAAGGAAGAGGTAGGGAACTTTGAAAAAGAGTGTACCAGAGAGAGCTCTCTAGTAAGACCTTCTAGGTCTTCTTGGACCTGGCTGTTTGTTTTTAGGGCTTCTGGGAACTATGTGGATGAAGGAGTGAACACTTCAGTGTCAGCTGAAGGCCTCAGGCAAGGGTTTGCAGCATGCGTGTAGCAGTTGTGACAAACCTTGAATGATAAGTAGAATTTCAACTAGTGGAAATTGAATAGTTGGGATTTCTGAATCATATTAGGCAGAGTGAGAGTCGAGCCAGAGAAGTATAAGGACATCAGCTCAATTGGAGCATAAAGGACTGTTGAGGCTCGAGGCTAGAAAGCCAGATTGGATCAGTGTTCTTAAATATCTTAAGTATTAAACCCATTTGCAGTGTAACTGTCAAGTTCATAGAGCTGCCCTTAACCCAGTGACAGGTTGGTGTAGTGCAAGGAGAAGCCCATGAGAACATCATACTGTTCTCTAGTCACTGTTGGGCTTCATAATTTGTGTAGCTAATCACTTACTAAGAGTGGAGTTCTAGTTTTGAAGACCGATTGTGATTGTATGCATCAAGAAAATGTATCCCCTGTATTTAATTCTCCTGGTAGTGGGACAGCATTGACAAAATACGATGACACCTTCTTTAATGTAACAAAAGGTTTTCCAAGCATAATGTAATCAAAATAACTACACCAATATTTATGAAGTTCTCCATTTATTAGACACTGTATTGAACATCTTACATGTATAATTAAAGTACTTAGGTAAGTAACACATGGCTTTAGCTTGCATTATAGTTTTCTTTAAGGGAATATGTTCTGTGTGTTTATGATTTTTTTAAGGGGAAAGAAATCTTACACTGCATATTTTAAAGGGTATGGATATCATGAATTTGAACTCACTCACAGAGTCTGGACACATCTGTACATGAACCACTGGCTTAGAAAAAATGAGTAAGGAGCCCCAGCATTCAGAGCTCCGGATTAAGCATTGGGAGGACTTACAGCATTCAGGCTTCTAATGGCTCCTTACTCATTTTTAGAGGAACCACAGAGGGAATCTGAAAATCCATAATATCCTATGGGACTGAGTGTCCTTTGTTCATTGAAAGGGGTCAGAACTCTCTACCCAGATCCAAATGTAGAAAGATCCAACCTTCTCTAGTTCCGAATAAATTTAGTTTACCTTAGTTAAATGATGCGCAGGAAAACCACCGTGTGAAGTGTGAAGGTTTTATTTTCTTTTGACTCTACTTTCTTTGATGGCAGTGTCACTAGTTACAAAGCCAAGTAAGTATAGGCTTACTTTGTGCCGGAAAGCCCACAGGTAGGGAATATCAAGAATAACTTCACTTTCAGCAGAAAAAATAATATTTCTTCCATGCTCTACTAAGAGTTGGCATTTTGCTAGAAGAGGATCTAAAAATAATGACTGTTTTGGCTACCCAAGATACAACACAAATAAACCAATCTTAAAATGATCACAAAAGACTGCCCTCTCTAACCAGCTAAAGCAGGTGGTATAAAGCCTAAGAAGGCTGCTGAGCTTGTGTTATTACTATCGGGAAGCAGTCTGGTCCCTTTCAGAGTTGCCTTAGGCCCCAAGTAGCTGGTGGGGTACATTAATTTTCTCAGTTAACTTGTTTCCCACTTCACAACAAAAGCCAGAAAGAACTGCTAAAAGGGGAAACAGTGGCACCAAGTGTATGTGACTGTGAGGAAGCAGAAGAAACAGATTGTTCCTTATGTATTGTTCACAAAGAAATAACTTTTTTACAAACACCTTTACCTGAAGCAAATGGTTAAAAAATGGGAAGTGTTCATACTTTTTCTTAATTAGTAGTTCACTGAAAAGTGTACTTTTGCTGGGTATGGTGGTGCACATCTGTAAGCCCAGCTACTCAGCAAGCTCAGCCAAGAAGGCAGATTGAAATCTGTAAGCCAGCCTGGGCAACTCTGTCTCAAAATCAAAAGGGCTGGGGATGTATTCAGTGGTAGAGTGTTTGCCTGCTATTATAGATGGGTTCAATTCTTAGTTGCAGAAGGAAAAAAAAAAAAGCACACCTTTATGGGATACTCGCTTTGGTGCTGCCAGGTGAAAGGAAGGTTGTGCCAGTAACTATGAGGTGGTAACATTTAACTGATTATTGCTGTGCTGCTTGTGTTATGCCAAAAGCACCTTCATATGTGCAGCATAATATTTTTTAAACTCTGTTACATGCAAAATAGAAGGGAAAATGTTCTTAAGCCCTGGCATTAATGAATGAGGGCTGTTCATAATTAAAAAGTGATTCCTATCTCCTAATCCTAACCCTTTTAGGGGTCAGGTATTTTCATTTTTTTTCCGTATGGCAGCAGTACTTCATTTTTCCCTTTCTGTAATTTTCCTCCAGTTCCCAGTACCTCTCTCACTAAAGGAAATTCATCTCAAGGTAAAGTTTGATTTAGAAAACTATGTTTTAGAAATGATGTTTCCCTTGGACTCTGCTTTCAGAAAGAAAAAAAAAAAAAAGCACATAATGTCCATGGAGAACTGGTTCAGTTGCCTTCCTCCCTTGAAATGATCTGTAGGCTATTGGTTAAATGATACGGTTCTCAGTGCTGTGTGTGTCATTGAAAACTCTGAAAGGTCCACCGTCCCTGGTATAGGGGATCCTCAGAGGGAAGCTGTAGGATTCCAAGCCCCTGAGATCTGTTTGTCTTCCAGCTCTAGTGTCTCTGTGATGCTGCCTTTCAGAACAGCCACCCACGCCCCACCCCCTGGCCTGGCAGCAGTGCTTCTGTAGCAGTCTTTTTCCTCTGGAGTTCGTGTGATGCTAGAGATTGCCTGTGGTAACCTATCTAGGTCTTCTTAGGAGATTTAAATAATTTTCAGGGATCTGTTAAAGCTATTTATGAAATAGTATCAGCGAAGGAAATGCTAGGGTGGTTATCAGTGCTCTTCTAAACTCCAGTGTGTTGACATTGTTTATCACTTTTCACCTGCTAATCACAAGTGATAAAACAGAGATTACTTGGGTTTATAATGACTCTGGCCTCATAATCTTTCATTTGATAGCAGTCTTCTAGTTTTCTGTTTTCCTGTTTCTTAGTTTTTATAGTTCCTTCTAATCTGATACCTTTCTTGGTGCTTTTTTTTGCAGGGGTGCTTTTTTGAGACAGGGACTTGCTGTAAACTCTTGCTGCAACTAAGAATTGAGGCAAGGGTCCTCCTGCCTCAGCCTCCCAAGTATTGGTATTACAGGTGTGCACCACCACGCCTAGCTCTGGTTTTTTTTTTTTTTCTTTTTTTTTTTTTTGAGACAGGGTCTGGATACGCAGTTCATTCTGGCCTTGAGCTCACTTGGTAGCCCAGGCTGACCTCAAACTCTGAATGATCCTGCCTCAGTCTCCCAAGTGCTGCGATTACAGGCATGCACCACCATGCCCAGCTCTTCCTACCTTTTAAAATGTCTCTGAATCTGAATAAAAGTTGCCCTTGTTTCAGTATCATTGGTTACTAAACACAACTGAATTTTGAGTTTGAAAAATTGTTCACAGTTCTTAAAGAATGTTTGTTTCCTGCAGTATTGTCCTTCCCCTGCATTTTGTCAACTTTTTAAAGATTTATGCTTTTAGTCTAATCAAAAAAGATATAAAAATGTTTCTTGTGGCTTTTACAGCAATCTGGAGTGATACGGAAGTATTCCAATTGTCACTCAGTGCTGGGTACCACAAAATAGTTCCCCATAAATATTTATTAAAGTTAACAATTTTTTTTTTTTTTCTGGTACCGGGAATCGAACTCACAGCATTGCACTTGCCAGGCAGGCACTGTGCCTCTGAGCTAAATCCCCAGCCCCCCTACGTTTCCTCTTCTAACGATACTTGTAGTTTTCTCCCATATTATTTCCTAAGAACCAAAGCAGCCAGGTGTGGTGGCACACGCGTATAATCCCAGCACTCAAGAGGCTAAGGCAGGAGGATTGTTGGTGAGTTCAAAGCCGGCCTGGGCTACAAAGTGAGATCAAGGCCAACCTGAATTGCAGTGAAACTCTATCTCAAAAAGACAAAAAAAAAAAAACCAAAAGAAAAAACCCACCAAAACAACTTACTATGCCAGTCCCAAAATACCTCAAAGAAAACTAAATTTAATAAAGGGTATGGACAAAGCTAGGGATGTGGCTCAGTGGCAGACAATTTTGGCTAACATCCACAAGGCTATCAGCACAATCCCAGCACCATGAAAAAATAATTACTTTGAGACCATATATATGTATGTCATGTAGATTCCTTTCTTAAAATTGGGAGTACATTATTTACTGTTTTCAGAGAAGCATGCCCCCAAATACACTGGCTTTTAAAAGAAAATTTATTTTTAAAGTATTTTGTGGAGTCTGTGATTTTATAGTTTTTAAAATTTTGCTGGTAGCATGACATCATTGACATCCTCAATGGAAAGCTCCCTGTGTGAGACCTGGCAGAGTTGTCAGGGGAAACCATAGTTTGAGTTGTGTTAGGGAAATTACCTGTGCACTTGAATTCTGTCCCAATTTTTAGTTATTGCCGTTAGGGTTAAATGTAGAATGAAAAATTGCTGCTTCCATTTTGTTCTTTTGCTAAAACAGAAAAGAGAGTGGGGAGAAACTGCTGACCTCATAGATTTTTAGAAAAAGAATACCAGTTCTTTCTAATTCTGGAGGCCTTGGTACTGTAAAGAACTAAACTGTTAATGTTTATTGAATACTTTGATGTCGGTATATAGTAATCTTAAAACTATGCTAAAATGCACCTCTCATGTCTCCAAACATCCTGCCTTCTTTTGTGACTACATCCTTCTCTTAGCCAAAATAACAAGCTAACTAGGATTTCACTATTCAATATCCTTCTCTGGCAGATGTTTTCTGGCAGACGCCTTCCTGCATTTATGAATTCCCTCTCAAGAAGCAAGAGAACACCTGCAGGAAATGAATCAAGATGCAGAACAGAGAAGTAATCACCTGCTTTAAAAAATAAAGTACTGTGGAAAAAGATCATTTCTCTCTATTTGTTCCTAGGTGTAAAATTTTAATAGTTAATGCAGAATTCTGTAATCATTGAATCATTAGTGGTTAATGTTTGAAAACACTTGCAGTCAAGTCTGTGATGTAGTAATAATGCTTTATGTATTGTTTGTAGTCATTTTAAATAGCATGAGCCATGTCCCTGTAGTCAGTAGGGGGCAACCTTGCTTTATTCATCCTCCATCTCAAAAAAAATGAATTTGGAATTAAAGACTTTAGTATAAGATATAAAGCTGGTTATTTTAAAGGGGTTTTCTCAAAAGTTAATACTTTCGTTATGATTGCAGTTCTGCTCATAATCCATACTTGCTGTTAAAATTAATCTAGAAATTAATTCTGTTGTACTATGTGTGAACACCTAGAAGCAAAATCATGGTATGAAATACATTAAAAGTGTGGTCAAAACATACATTCTTAATTGGTAAATAAGCGTTAATTTTTTATAGTCTATATTGAAAATTTTACAGTACCTTATTGTTCTGTGGTGTGTACCTAAGGAATTCAGAAAGTGTTGTTACTGCATAAACAGAAGGAACAAAGACAAATACAGCTTCATTACTAAAATGTAATTCTTGACAGTGTATAATTCTTGATACTCTGTATAATTAGAGTCCCAAAAGATGAGGTAACTAGGAGCAAAGAAAGAATTAGGTTGGAACTTTTGAGATGATCCCTAACATACTGTACTACTTGCTTTTACAATGTGTTAGCAGAAGCCGATGAATTAGAAGTGTAGAATGATGTGCTTTCTGCCCAAGTAGCAGTTCACCTTGGTTTGCTATATTAAAACTGTAAATACAACAGAACATTAATAAATGTCTCTTGTGTAGCACCTTTTACTGTAGATTAGTGTTTAATTTTTTTTGGTTTGCATTTATTGATTGCTGAAACAGTCTTCCTAATCTTACAGAATCATTTGGTGAATATTAAAAAAACTGATCTTGGGTCAGTTTTTCCTTTATTTTCTCTTCTTGCATGTCCTACGCCATAGATTCCTAAAAATGTATGTGAACACTGGTTCTGCCAAAGATAGGGAGGAAAATAGGGAGGAATTGTACAGACTTTAAATCATTCTGGAATTCTTGATAGTGCTTTACTCTGTAGACATGATCCTAATTTGCAGTGTTTTCCACATGTACTCTACATTTATCCCTTTTCTCTGTTGAAAGTAGCCCGTGGGCCAGCAGTGGTGGCAGTGTACACCTATGATCCCAGCACTTGGGTGGCTAAAGCAACAGGATCACCATGAGTTTGAGGCCAACCTGGACTACATAGTAAGACCCTGTCTCAAAGAACAAAACAAAACAAAAAAGAAGAAAGTGAGCAAGTAGCTTGTGGTTTGAGTCCCGTGTGTACCCAATTGAGGCTAAAGATTCTCTTCACTTTGATCTCTATTCTTGTTTGTATTAAATGTAGAGACCAGTAGTTCTTAAAATGTGGACCATATTCCATTTAAATTATATATAAAGAAAAAAATGGAGCAAGATAATCAAACTGCGTATACTAACCAACACTAGCTTGGTATGATAGCTGTAGATGTTCATTAACCTGCTGCCCATGAGTATCTGGAATCACATGACCACCCAGAGTCAGCAAAGAAAGTATTTTGGGGTATTAGTATGGGATGCACAGAAAAGGCTGTTTGAAAGCCAGACAGGGAAATCAAAACCCCCTGGACTGATACTTCAGTGACCAGTTCGACTAGTTGATTGTTAGAAGTAATAACGTAGTATATTCTCGTTTAAATGTTATTTGTAATAGAAAATCCCCCAAAGGGTGACCCTAGAACCATCAGAGTAGGCCACATTCCCAGCCCTTTTTCTCTTACTTTCAGATGTTGAGACAGGATCTTGCTAAATTGCCCAGGCTGGGCTTGAACTTGTGATACTTGTGCCTTAATTTCCCAAGCAGGTAGGATTACAGGTATGCACCACTGCACAAGGCAGGATGGGGTTTTCTGAAAGCCTCTGAAGATTTTTCTTTAAATTTTGAATTAGATTATACCTACTGTAGAGTTTGGAAGTTTTCATAGCTTATAATGTCAAGTTCCAGAATGGAAAGATCTCTAGCAATCTGAAAAATGTGCATGCATAGAGCAGAGAGAACTACTTAAATTATCTTGCAGAGGTCTGAGCGTGGTGGCCGCACGCCTGTAATCCCAGCACTCCAGAGGCTGAGGCAAGAGGATCGTTGTGAGTTCGAGACCAGCCTGGGCTGCAAGTGAGCTCAAGGCTGGCCTGAACTGCATAGCAAGACCCTGTCTCAAAGAAACAAAAATAATAATAATAAGTTATCTTGCAGAACAAAATAGAAGAAGGGTCCCAAATTCATTCTAACATTGTAAACCATCACTTTGCTTATTCTTTTGATCCTTGTCCCTTATTTGGTTTTGTATAATCAGTGAACTGAAATGTGTGGAATTACTATTTGTACACATTTGGTGATCCATAAGATCTATTAAACATGAACCTATAGTATGATATACTTTTAAAGCGATCATGAGCTGGGGATTTAGGTCAGCAGCACAGCACCTGCCCGGCAAGCGCAAGGTCGTGAGTTCAATACCCAGTACCAGAAAAAGAAAGAAAGAAAGAAAGAGAGAGAGACAGAGACAGAGACAGAGAGACAGAGATGGCACATGCTATAATCCCAGCACTCAGCTGGCTGAGGCAGGAAGATCTGCGTGAGATCCAAGCCAGCCTGAACTACATAATGAGCTCAAGGCTAGCCTGAACTAGATAGCAAAATACTGTCTCCAAAAATAGACAAGAGAAGCAGGAGAAGGAGAGGGCCTGCGCAAGCGATCGATAAGATGGTTTCAAGTCTTACGAGGTATGTAAAGTTGGTACTGTATATTACCTAGACGGTTCGCTATTCAGAGTGAGAATATGCTGCACTGTTAGTTCTCATTTTTCTCTTCATTTTCTTTCTTTCCTTGATAGGTTCTTCTTGTTATTATTGAGATGGGGGTTTCACTGTGTTGCTTAGGCTGGTCTTGAAGTCCTGGGCTCAAGTCTTCTGAGTACCTGGGACTGTGGGTGCACACTGCATTTGGAATAGTTCATAGCGCACCCTTTCAAATGAAAGGTGGGTCTTTATTATAAATTACTTTGGAAGAAGATACAAAGGAACTTCTCTTACTTGCCTAACATTTTGGAATAAACTGGGTTGAATGCTGAGCTACAGGATAGTTAGGATTTACCCACGATGAAAGAAGTCACTGTGTCTCTTGTCATTTATATTGTGTTTAAAGGGTTTTATGTAGCCACACACACCCCTTCCATCTAGAAAGCTCGAGATTGGTTTGTGTAGAAATAAAAGGCATTATTATTAAAGTTTACTTATTGCTGAGTGTGGTGGCCCACATCAGCCCTCTGGGAGGCTGAGATAAGAGGATGGAAAGTTCAAGCATAGCCTGGACATTTTAGTAAGACCCTGTCTCAAAAAAAATTTTTTTAAGGACTGGAGATGTAGCTCAGTGTGAAGGCCTTGGATTCAATCTGGGGTGGGGGGTTGCTTATTAAAAACTAGTAAGAAGCAGGCATGGTATGGTACACACCTGTGATCCTAGCACTTGAGAGGCTGAGGCAGGAGAAGTGCCACAAATTGGAAGCCAGCCTGGGCTACACAGCAAGACCCTGTCTCAAAAAGCAAAAAAAAACAACTTAGAATAAGGCTGGGAGTAGAACACTTGCCTAGCATGTGCAAAACCCAGAGTTCAATAGTTGACACTGGGGAACAAGAAAAAAATAAGAATAAATATCTTTACTATGTTATTTGGAGTTTAGCAAAAGAAATGGCAAGATACTTACTTTCTTTTGAGTGCTGGGGATTAGACCTAGGGGCCTTGCATATGCTAGGCAACCGCTTTACCACTGAGCTACATCCCAACCCAGAAATTTTGTTTATAAACAGAATTTTTAGTGAAATAAATATTACCTTCATTCCTTCCTTCCCTCCTTCCTTCACCTTCTTGTTAAGAATAAGTATATGATTTGAGCTCTGGCTCATCACGAGTCAGCTGCACAAATGAAATTTCTTTCGTCTTCACTGTAGTCTTAACTGAAAATACACTTGGTTAGACGTTGTTTACATTTGTGACTGAAATGAGTGAAGAAATAACTACTGACGTGGAATATCAGGGCCAACAGAAGTGACAACTCAGTTTGAGTGGTTGCTTGATGTGCGAAGGTTCTGGGGTGGGAATCAGCAAAAACAGACCCAGGAATGCAGCCCTCGCCTCAGCTCCAGCACTCCATTCTCTTCCCACTGACCTGACCTTTTCGAGGGCTGGCACAGTAGATGTTGACAGAAAATGGAAAAATACTTGCCCTGATTCTTAAAAAACACCAGTAATCAAATCTTAAAGCACTCCAGAAATTGGCATAGAACTGTACATTTACATAAATTAGCAGAGTATATTTTACCAAAAAAGTAATTTGGCCACTACTGTTTACCCACTGTGATTCTTGGTTAAATGTTAGAGGTGACTCTAGATAAGTCAGCTGCAAAATGTAGTTTAATAATTTGTAGGGTCTATCAATGTTTGGAGGTCCTTATTTTTCATCTAGTTGAAAGACTTTCACCTTTCAGACTTTGTGAAGATTTGAGGAAATGGGGGTATAATGATGCAAAAATAGTTGCATAGACGGTTTGCATATTTTTAAAAACCTGTTTTGCATATTCTTAAGCCTAAATAGTATTTGTAGTTTATAAGGTAGATGAGGTGAATTGAATGAGAGCATTTATTAAGTCAATATTAAAGTACTCTTGGTTTAACTTTGCCTTTGGTGGCATAGACCTGTATACTTCTGCGTATATGTATAATCATACACCTTTATATCACCCACAAAAAGTGCCCTTCAACAAGTGGCCTATGAATATTGGTTATGTGTACTCTTACGTGGAAGACATCACAAATAAATACACCAGGAGGTTCCAAAGGGGGAGAGTTAAGTGTAAATTGAGAGTAAAAGTGGTTCTTATGATGAAAAGGTGGCTACAGAAATTGGTTTTTAAAATTTACTTATTTTTTGTTCTTTTTGAGACAGGGTGTCACTATGCAGTTTAAGCTGGCCTTGAGCTCACTTTGTAGCTCAGGCTGGTCTTGAACTTGCAATGATCCTCCTGCCTCACAGAAATTGGTTTTATATCAGTCACATTCTAAGAAGAAGCTATTTTATGCCGCTGAGCTACATCCCCAGCCCAGAAGAAGCTATTTTATAGCCCAGTCATTGTATCGCCTACAGCTTTACGGCCTATAGAATGAACAGCTTTTATGAAAAATGCGTGACTGGAGAGCTGTTGTCCCACGTCCAGTTTCCCTGTCTATAAAGTCTGAAATAGTCCATTTACTGCACAGTGTTTTAGTCCCCTCACACATGCAGTTGTCCTCAGAATTTGCCACTTGTAGAATGTCTGTATTACTCAGAGTACATTTTGGTTTAAGTTGATACTTTTTACTTAAAAATCCAATTTTTTTTTCTTTACCAAAAAGCAGTCTTTTGGTTTTAACTGTAAATTCCTTAAGTGACAGATTAGTAAAATTCAGATTTAAATGCATAGCTCTTAGAATTGACAACAGAATTTATAAATTGTAGAGGATTCTTTTGCATTCATGCAGAATTTTACCCAGGTCAGAAATTGAGACTGCAGATGTGTGAGATACACACCACCTGACCTACTGCGTACCCTGTTCATCCTGCTCTAAAAGCATGAAGTAATATATGGAGTAGGGATGTAGCTTGGTGTAGAAGACACAAGGCCCCAAGTTCAGTCCTCAACACAGCAAAAATGATAACAGGGCTGGAGTACTGTGTAGCTCAGTGGTAGAGCACTGGCCTA